GTGGCATCATTGTCATTATAACATCATAATTAGTAACTTTAATCTTATTATTTTGTACGCCTTCTCTTTTTCTTCTTCTTCATCATCTTCTTTTACTTCTTCTTCTCATTCTTCTTCTTACAATTATCATTATTATTATTGTTGTCGTTATTATTTTCCTTATTATTATTATCATTATTATTATTATTATTATTATCATTATTATTATTATTATTATTATTATTATTATTATTATTATTATTATTATTATTATTATTATCTATATTATCATTCACATTATCATTCACATTACCATTATCATTATAACAATTATTATTACTATTATTTCTTTTATTCCTATTATTCGTGTCGATTCTGTAATTAATATTATTACCATTATTATCGTCAGTAATACAGGCTTTATTATTTGCATTATAATTGTTATTCTCATGGCTATTATGCTCTAAATTTTCCTTTGTCTTTTGCAATTAATTAATCCTTTGATGTAGTGTAAGCCATTATTTTCAATCTCCGTGATATTCACTGAAATTAATAATACGGCATTGAATACTCTTCATCATAAATTATATAATCTCATTATCGATTTACGTTAATAATGAAACTTTATCTAGTTGTCTATTTATCTTGTATTTTGCTATAAATAATTAATTGAAATTAGTAAAATACAATTCATTCGTTTGCATGATAAATAACTATTTGAATGTTTATTAGATTTTATTACATTTAGTCCAACTCAACACTTGCATTAATATTAATGTCGAGTAAAAATATCAGTTCGGAAAATGAACAAATTTTTAATATTCATGAAAATTTAATATTTCAAAATTAACGAATTACCGACGTTAAGCATATAGATCACGTGATCAATATTGAGCTTAAGTGAGTCGTAATTATCATATTCTGGTCTTAAAAAAAAGAGGACACTAGTTGCATATAATTAGTAGTTATTATTAATACATTAAAATAGCGTTAAAAGAATAGTCTCAGTAATAAATAATATGATATTTATTATATATACAATTTTGTTAATTCACTTAAATGATAACATTAATAGATTTTCAATATACAAATTAGACTATTTTGATTATATAAAGCCATAAGACTAATATATCGTAAAAACTATATTATGAAAGTGATTTTGTTTTCTAATTTATAGAGAAACGTTATACTATATTATATCCGATATATTATTCATAAATGCAATTATCTTTGCGCGGATAAAATATTACAGATTAGCATTCATAATATAATAGTTCGCAAAAGATAAAGTTTGATAATTGTACAATAAGTAATTTATATATATCTATACATTTGAAATGAAATCTATTAATGCAATCGTTAATAAGATTAGATGATTAATTTCGATATTAAAACATATTTCGTTATTACGCTATAGATAAATTGGTAAATTTTACCTGATGAAATTTTTCTTTTACGCCATTAAATTCCTAGCTTTTCAATGTAAAGATATTAATTATGAAATCAGCGCCAGTCAGAGTTGAAATAAATCAGTTAAGAAAAGGCAAGCGAAACCCTCGCAGCTTATAACTTGTAAATTCAAGCATTGGCTACCAATTAAGGCTCCTTTTTTGTTCGGTCCGACGTAGCAGAGGATGCCGCAGGTGCTGTTAGGGTACGAACTCCAGAGGCGGCAGTGTGTGCCAGTGATGTCGGTGGCGAGGCGGCTTGGAGCCCTGCTGGACCTGGACCATGGCCGGCAAGCCTGAGCAGCCGGCCTCTCATTCAGGCCCGACGCTCCAACAGCCCCAGCAGTTGTCCTCGATTTCGAGGCAGCCGCAGCTGCAGCAACCGAGCCTACAGGACCAACAGGCGGCCCTACATCAGAACAGCGTACTAGTCTACGTGGCGGGCGACAACTTGGCCTATGCGAGCGCGATCGACCAGCAGAATGCACTGGCCAGCTATCAGCAACAGCAGCATCAGCATCAGCAGCAGACCCAGCAACAGGTCACTACTGCTCAGCACGCGCATAGCCAGCAGCAACAGCAGCAGCAGCAGCAGCAGCAGCAGCAGCAGCAGCAGCAGCAGCAGGACGACGGGGTGGCGTACTTGCATCTGCCTCAAGTCTTTGGGGATAAGACTCAGGTGGGTTTCCTCGGCAAGGAGACTTCGGGTCACGAGTTTGGATTGTCTGGGTCCGAGATAGAGTCCCAGGAACCGCTGCGCACCTCGAGCCGCGGTAGCGACGAAGATTCGGGGCGCTCCCTTGGTCCGGACGACGATGATCTCGTCGATGACGGAAGCTTCGTCGTGTCGCAGCTCGAGGCCGCTGTCGACGGTGATATCATTTACCAGGATGACGAGCCGGAGCACGAGCAGGACAAGGAGCACCTTAAGCTTCTCAAGCTCTCTAAGGACATGCTCGAGGGCTGTAACGGCTACTCCGTCAATGGCGTGTACGCCGCCTCGTTGGGCTTTCCCCTCGACGAGAAAAGCCTCGGGGCATTTGCGGCTGCAGGCGCGGAGCTGGAGGCCGCCTGCGACGCCAATGCCAATCACCAGGTTGCCTTCGTAAGGCAGAACGGAACCGGATTGACGCTGTATCAGAATCCTCTCGTTTCCGACGAGCAGCACCAGCACCAACAGCACCAGCAGCTTCAGCAGCATCCGCAGGAGGATCAGCAGCATCAGCAGGTGCAGGTGCAAGTGCAGGTGCAGGGCGGGGTGAGCTCGGTCATTAATACGGGACAGGTGATAAAGCTCGCAGAGAACGCGACGTTCGCCAACCTTGGCAGCTGTGACTCGGTGAGGTCGGACACTGCCGAGTCGACTTGCAGCAGTCTGAGCAGCCACGAGAGTCAGGAGGTCGCTCTCCAGCAGGCTGCGAGCTTTGTCGCGCAGCAGGCTGCGCGGAACTCCAGTCAGCAGCAACTTTTAGGGGTGCACGGAGTCCTCGACGATGCCCTTAATGGTGTGTGCGCGTCGGTACAGCAACAGCAGCAACAACAACAACAGCAGCAGCAGCAACAGCAGCGGTCGCTCTCCAGCAGGCTGCGAGCTTTGTCGCGCAGCAGGCTGCGCGGAACTCCAGTCAGCAGCAACTTTTAGGGGTGCACGGAGTCCTCGACGATGCCCTTAATGGTGTGTGCGCGTCGGAGCAGCAGCAGCAGCAACAACAACAACAGCAGCAGCAGCAACACAGTATATCCGTGCCGCATGGGTGGAAGAGGATCTGTACTAATGGCGTCATCATATATATCAGGTAAGGTATTTTTTTTTATCGTCAACTCTGTAGATCATATACATTTTTTATTTAAGTAGTAATATCAACGCATGAAATTTAATGCGCAGCTCGATATGCATTGAAAGTCTGAGTTCAATATATTACATAAAAGAAGTTGCGAAAGTATGGATTATAAGTAATAACTGATTATTATCCTTAATCCGAATATTAGTTGTGTCGATCAATTTTGTAAACGAGAAAGTTTTCTTCGTATATCTTTTACTTTTTTATTTGTTTTGCATGCACGTTATTATTGATCATCGGTAAGTATAACGTTTACCAAAGAAAGAGTCTTACAATGTTTATTTGTTGAAATGTAACGTGACACAAGCCGAAGGCGTATTTACCAAAGCTACTTAATCGAAGTATAAACCAAACTGGAGTTTTATTTTCAAGCATTGCGCCGTAGTTGTTTCATGTATAGCCTTCTCCCTTTTCTCTTCCCCCGTTCGTGTCTCAAAATACATATCCCACAACAAGGAATATACAGAAAAAAAAGGGAAAAAAAAGAAGCGTTGGGGGAGGGGACGGAAATGACATAGAGTGAATGCCATAAATTAGTTTAAACGCGTACGCTGAATTCGAATTTCTTATTCGAGATTGAAATATCACATTCGTCGTCGCGCAACGACCTCGATTGCGTCATAAAGATAACCTTTTTTTCACTGCTCGTGAGTAAGGAAGAAAAATAAGAAGAAAAGATAAAACAATTTTGACGAAATATATTGAGCAAGGGTCCAATGTTTAAGCGAGTCATTGTACAAGTTATTTTTATTACATAATAAATTAGTTTAATTAGGGCATTAGCCAATTTTAATTGCGAGTGTTTAGCGGCGTTCATTAATTTTATTCGAATAATTAAAATAAATTGTATACGATTTAAAAACAATTATATTACATTTTTCTTCGAAAAATAATATCTAATATTTGTATTTGTTTATATTTATTATATCGAATATGGACAATTAGATTATGTATAGCTTTACAAATTCAATAATTTGATATCGATTTATATAGGCGTATTATATAAGCTTTATTACGACTCAAACATAATCGGATTGCATTATAATTAATTGATTTGGTACACGCTTTACCGTTGTATTGTAAAGAATCTCTGATATCAAATACATCTCAAAGAATAGTGAGGATCTTTTGAAAAGTATGTTTATCTACTTGTTAAATAATTGCACCACTAATATTCTCATATCTCATTTAAAAAAACTTGTCAATTTGTCGTGCGTCATGTCTGTATTAAAAATACCAGCTTGTTTCAATTAAACAAATCATTTATCAATTATTACAGGCTGCTTTTTTTCTCTCCTTTTTTTTCTTCTATCTCCCTTTTCTTTTATTAGAAAGCAATTAATAAATAAGACATTTTTTGAGGTTACACAATCAATTTTATCGATCAATCTATTTTCGTACACATATCGATCGCTCGACCAACCTAACACTGGAGGATCTTCTTTAAAGCAGGGGACCTAGATTTTAGCCTTCGTATGTTGCAGAACAATAACGACGTATTCTAAAATATAGATTTTCGCCTTCGAAATGGCAATCGAATGCTGCAGCGTTCGCTCGTTATGCGACCGAAACGTCGTCTAAATTGATCAAGCCAATAAAAATGATTACAAGGTCGTAAGGCTTTGGCGTTCGCTAATTAATTTACGAAAAATCGTTGAAACAACTTTTTTCGAAAAGTACGCACGCGTAAAAAAAGTGAGAGAAAAAAAATTCCTAGAAGAAGCGACTATTGATTTTTGTGGGTTAAAGCGCCAAAATTAGCTGCGTAAGGTCATTAAGAGGAAAAAAGGCAGTGCGTTGTGGACGCAGACACGAATGCGGGGAAAAGCCGTGGAGCGACGGATCGTCGTCATGGCACGTGGCACAGTGACGCGTCCTCGGAAATAAGGCGTGGAAAAGCATGAGCGGGAGGCGAGGAAAGTGTGTAGTATCCGTGGCTCTAATTGAAGGTGAAGTGGGTATAAACGAGGGAGAAGAAGCACGGCAAACGAAGGAATTGATGAGGGGCAGATGGAGGATGAGAATGAGAATGAGGATGAGAATGAGAATGAGAATGAGAATGAGAATGAGAATGAGAATGAGACTGAGAATGAGAAGGAGGCCCCCGGGTGGAGGGAGAGCTCGGTGGGTCGAAGGGGTAAGGAAGAACGGGCCAGCCAGCGATACTAAGCCGCTTATGCAATCGGCGTCTGCATTACGCAAGCGCGATAATTAATTATCAGTACCGTTGGCGGAGCTTTTATCGATCCCTCCACGTTTGTTTCAACGATTTTGTGGCTTTTCCGGATGCTCCCTTTTACACGTGAAACAATGTAACGGTACGCGATTTCTCTTTCTCTCTCTCTCTCTCTCTCTCTCTCTCTCTCTCTCTGCGTATAGTTTGTTCAAGGCCGATTCGATTGCCGTGTAATGGCGTTTGCTTGGGAGATTAACAATTGAAATGCATTAAGTAGGGAACTGGTCGGTTGAGAATTAAACGTTTGCACTCTGTGATAGCGAGCTGATCGAATTTTACTAACGAGTTGGTTCTTGGTCTGCTGTAATATACCGCATCATGCACACGCAGACTCTTCCTGTTTTTCTTTCTTAATTTGACTAGTGTTTATTGATTTTTGGCGGCCTGACATTTATTTATTTATTTATTTTTTTTTTATTCAATATGCGTGATCTCAAAAGGGTTATTCATAAATGCCTTTTAGTTTAACAGAGAGTCGAAGGCTAAATGTTGGTTGGCTTGTATCGATGCCATTATGAATTTATGTGGGAGTAGGTTCTTCGCTATCGTATTTATGTAGCTGTAAATTTTATAAAAAAAAACTAATTTTCACTTCAAAACTTTATTTTCACGAGACAATGGACTAGTAGTGTGCGCGATATTAAAGAATAAATAATTTCTATTTGGAGGATATTATGTGTAGTTAAAGATGTAATGTAGTTAAAGATTAATGGCAGGCAAAGTAATGTCCCGATATTGGAGATTTCGGAACTTCGAGCTTCCATCAGCGCAAATACTTCCGTCGGTCGGTTGGAACAAAAACATGCTAATTGCATGCTCGCCTTTTCGATCGGCCACGAAAATGGATATGTTCGGCAACACTTTCTCATTCGAAGCTGGTAGTAAATCAGCCACGAGGAACTTTCACTTTCACTGCCGTAGTTATACTAGGTCATCGAACTGCCGTTTTTCGGCGTCGCCGTAAGGAGCGGGGGATGTCTTTCAGCACGGATTTTCCCAGAGCGTCAAAGCCGCCAAGACATTTCCGGATGGTTCGCGGCGGGGGCGGCGGGGGCGGCGGACTCTTCGAAGGCAAACTCGGGCGCATCTGGAATCGAGAGATTCTCTCCGGCATTCGCGTCCTTGAGGATGAAAATGCGCGCTCGGCACCAACTACTCGTCTTGGCGTCGTAAAACCTTTTTTTATAGTCTTCCATGCTTCGAGGGAGAAAGAGGAAAAGGTGACGGGCAAGGGTGAGGAGGCGAAGGAGAAAAGATGCCGAGACCATATTTTGCGCGTCTGACGGAGAAAAATCCTCGAGTCGCGCTTGCGTTACGAGTCAACTGTAATTGGATAAATTCGAATTCCTTAAAATATCAAGATTAAAATATTTATTGTGCGCGAAGGAGAGAGCGTAATTATTGAAATTAACTCGACGTTAAATGCGTAGTCTGTTTTTTTTTTTTAAGTACCCGTACGCGTTATGATGCGTTAATCTCACCATTGCTTTTACGACGAAAACTGTTAATTATAATTTCATTTCTCGTACGTCGATTATTCATAGTTCGTTACCAACTATTTATCTCCTCTGCAACGTATGAATGAGTAATAACTAATAGCTTTAAACGGAAATAAATATACGTTAGTTAAGGTACTTTCACGCATAAACTAATTCTTTCATTAGGTACATAAATTTTGCTGAAAATGCAGTTACTAAAATTTTTTATATATTCATAATCTTTATTTATAGTAAGAAAAAAAATTAATTTAATTTTACTAGAAGTAATCTCAGAAAAATGAGCAAATGTTTAGAAATCGATTTATTATCTGCATAAGCCATTAAGTTTCAAGTCTGGCATTATATAATTTTTATTATTAATATTTCATTAAGCTACAAAAGGTAATTAAAACCTATGTATATTTTTAAAACAATATTGTACGCGGAATTATTATTATTATTGTTATTATTGTTATTATTATTGTTATTATTATTGTTATTGTTGTTGTTATTACTAT